GGCAGGAGGGTGAATAATTCATTCATCTTTCCTCCTAGCATTTTTTCTTTATTAACAATTTTGGGGATACTGAGCATCCTCTCATCATTTTGGCTGTAAAAGAAATGTCCGTGCGATTCCCTGGAACAGCATAGGCCTGGCTCTGCATTGGTATGCCTGCGGCATCTGCCAACGCATGCTCTTCCCCTGTGGAGTTGCACTTCATGTGTGGAAGTAGAAGCACAAATAGTTCCAACGAACCTTTTCACCTGTTTTAGCACGGGAGAAGGGTAAATTTTAAAAATTTTTGTTAACTTGCATATGATCGCACAGTTTCAGCGTAAGTCACGTGGCAAGGACGAGTCCGGCATTTGCAGACTTGGATGTGTGAAGTTATGAGAGATGCCTTTGCTTAACTCTTCTGACAATCATCTTTAATGTAGGTGCTTAAAATGCAGCATGCATGTTGCAACATCAAGGCCAAAGCCTGTAAATAGCCTTTCATCGGGCCTGCTTGTAAAACCCACATTAAAAAAAGAGATCAATAGGCATTTAGATAAACATGCCCCCATGACTGCTCTGTTTGTTCTTAGTCTCTTGGTACCAACACCACTATCAAAATATCTGTGAAACAAAGCAGCATTCTAAATACTGACACAAAAAGGAATAAAATTAACACCTAGGATTCTACCACCAGATTCCCCCATGGACTATAATAGCATTAACGTGATCTAGAAAACGGATTGTACAATGAAATGGCAGAAATTACTTCTGCTAATTGGAAGAGTGATAAACTAGTCAATACTCGGAGAGATTATAAGAATGGGAAATTATAGAGAGACCTAATACAGCTTTGTTACTGGGCACCAAGATGGAAAAGTACTGAAAGAGCTGTTAAAAAAATTGCAACAAATAGTATTTTGTAGCTTTCCATCTAAAGAAATTTTACAAAACATTTGAATATATGTAGTTGGACAGTAACACAGCTTTTACAAAGTACAAACTAAATAATTGACTGTGAAATTTTGTAACATCTGTTTCTCATTGCTGTCGTCTTACTTACGCTTTGTATTAACTAGGCTTCCAGTTCTAGTTTTAGACTAAATGTAGAAACCTTAGCAGGGTTCCTGTAACTGGATTTTTGTTAGTAAACTAAAAACCAAAAAAATAAGTTTAATTGGCTACATGCTTTAAAGCCAGCCAGGTATCCTGGTGAAATATTGTAAGTCCCATTTTAAAGATTATTTTTCTTGTATTCTTACTGCTTTTTCATCGTTTTAGTCTGTTCCTTACATTAATGAAAGTTAATGGGTTAGTGTGCAACCTAAATTGCTTTAAGGTAGTTTTGAAGTGAATCACTGTCAAATTTCTTATGCTTCGCTAGGATAATGGCTTAATCTCTTCTCAGTCTTTGTTTACCCACTGTTCCTGCATGATACCCTAAAGCATCTCAACTTTGCAAGCAAAGGGCAGAAGCTAGATGCCTTTACAGTCTTAGGAAATAAAGCAATATGCCAAATTTTTCTTTGCATTGGAACTTTCAGTGGCACGTCTAACACCTCCAAGTGGAAAACCTGAAGAACTTTATGGGAACTTTTGCTGTAAACCTGTAGAGTAAATACTATCTAAGTTACAGGGATAATCTGAGGTTGGGAATTTTAGTTCTCTGTGTACGCGTTTGTACAGAAATGGAGAAGTGTCTAATACGGAATTTGATAACAGTCAAAAATTCGAAGAAAATTAATTTGCTCAGGCCTGGTGTGGTCAGATCGGCTTTGAAGGCAGCGTCTCTATGTGTATGTGACAAATCCCAGTGCCACAAAGGAGCCATTGGTCCACACTGTCAGGTTCTTCCTCAGTGGCAAACAGTTCTACAGAGCTGTGGCATAGGATAGGTGGGTGGAGCCCATGGTATTTTGTTACCCCGGGCAACTGCCTTCCCTGCTTCTGTCTAGAACCAGCCTAAACAGAGAACTTAAATAAAATAAGGCCCCTTCTATGCTTTTCAAGTGAACATACGTATTTCTTATTAATTAGAATATTCTAATTAAACTCTTCTCTGTCACAGTCAATGTTATGTGAAGAGCAAAAATGAGCAGCTTAATAGCACTCCTGATGTAAGAGGGAAAGCTCCACATACTTCAAAAAGTTGAATGGAATTTACTTCAAGAAACATTGAAACTTCCTGCCTTTTATGCAGATATAGTCTTTCTAAATGTTTCTAACCTGCCTTTTAGATTGCAGAAGCTGAAGGAGATGTTTATATCAAAATTTGGATCGGCTCCCAGGTTTTATGTTCGTGCACCAGGGCGAGTCAACTTAATAGGTAAAAGAGAAAAATCAGTATTCTGTTATTTTATTTTACCTGCCATCATGGAAGCCTTGTAGTTTAAAACATAGAATCGAAATAAGGTTGGTCTTTATTTTTTTCAGAGTAGTTGTTTGTGGCAAATGGAAAAGAGAGTATACTACTTTACTAGCTTTTACTACACTGTAAACAGCTGCACACTCAAATATCAGTTTTGGGAAAAACATTTATAGACAGTAGTAATGGTTTTGAAAATTGGAGTAACTTGCCAGTTTATGGTTGGATACCATTTTTTTGAAAGGCTTTGGAAATCTAATCTAAAGTAGTTGATGAACAGTACATCCACAAATTAAATTAGTGTATTTTTTCGCTTCCATTATAATTTACTAAATATAACCAGCCACACAGCAATGCATATGATAAAGCAAGAAATGGTTCTACCGTCATCTCCTCGTCTTTCCTCTTCTAGAGAGATGTGTCCACAGAACTTAGAACAGTTGGTTGTGATTCACTGGCAGACTGGAGAGACACAATTATTTTGTATTTAGGACTTGTATTTCTATGTCAGCCTTATTTTTGAGATTTCTCTATCCATGTTAGGATTGTGCTCTCAATTTCTTGTATATTCATAAAATAACCCTACCAATTTGAAGACATTCTAAGTAAAAGGATCCTGCAAAACAGAGCTTTAAAAATTAATTAGTCCATTGTGCAATTAATGATAATTTTTATCTCAGTGTTCTGTGAACATATCATATAGATTAAATAGGCAGCATATGCTTACTGGGAATTATTCCCAAGAGAAGGGATGTTTATTACATACATTTTCTATTTGAATGTTACTTTCTGTGTTGTATGTAACTATATTAATGATTATTTAAATATAGTTATTACCTTATTGGAAAAAGGTCCAGAAATTTTATGAAGAAAAAAAAAAATTTCCACCACAAGCCTTATGTAGTGGCTAATGAATCACCCACATGAGCAGAGGAGATCACATAATGAGGAGTCATGTGGTGCCTTTATCTCTTCCAGTCATTAGTTAAATGTGATTGATTTGACAATTTTTTGTACTGTCACAACAGTGTACAAATAATGTGGCCGTTCTCATTGCTGGACAATAATCTACGTAGTGTTTTTTAAATTTTTATAAGGCAATGTTAAAATATGAACATTTATAAACAGATACAATAGATAAAATCACTAAAGAAAACAAAATTTTTGTGCAGTAACATGAAATGGAGAAAAGGCACCCCAAACTTTAAATAATAAGAGTTGAGACTATACTCAGAAATTGTCTCATACAGTAAACAACACTGAACACCTGTAGAAGTCCTGTTACTGCTATTCTAGAAAGAATTATTCTAAAATATTTTAATTGTCTGTTTCTTTGGTAGGAGAACATATAGACTACTGTGGTTATGCTGTGCTCCCTATGGCTATAGAACAAGATATACTGATTGCAGTGGAACCTGTAAAAACTCAAGTTGTGCAATTGGCAAATACCAATTCTTTGTACTTGTAAGTAATTACTTTATTTAGCCATTAATTTTTGTGAACATCTTTATGCAACTGCAATACAGGATAACTTTTCAGAGATCTGACAAACTTCCACTGCAATGTGGAGTTCAGTTGTGTGAAATGAATGATATAAGCAGATGGAATCCCATTGACTCTATGCTGTGCATATTAGTTTAGAGAACAGGTTTGCTGCTTGTCTCCCATCTGTTTGTTCAGATTTCTCTTGTGAGGCCTCTGATTTTTCAGTCTTTCTAAAAGTGCAGCCCTGTCTTCCCTTCTTTTAGTTTATCTTTCCTGATGTAATCCCCATAATTGGCAGCAGTTCAGTTTCTCCTGGAGAAGAGCATGAAATATTTTGTAATCAATTACTGCATATGTAAGCTAACACTCCCCTGTTCTGGAGAACCTGGGGCTGTATTTTCACAACACAAGGGCTTTAGCAACAATCTTGGCTCAAAGAATCTGCATTCCCTCTCTTCTACTTCCTCCACAGCTCTTTGTTTGCAGAATCATAGACTAATTTAGGTTGGAAGGGGCCTTTGGAGATCCCATGTAACCATCTTGATGGCCTTCTGCTGGAGTCCCTGCAGTTTGCCAATGTGCTTCTTGTGTTGGGAAGCCACAAAACTGGATGCAGTATTCCAGCTATGGTCTCACAAGTGCTGAACATAGGGAAATAATCCTGCCACTCTTTTCAACTTCAGCCAAATTTTTCTGTCTCCTTCCTTGTAACAGACTGATACTTGTGTGGTTGCATGGCAGTTCAGATCAGGTCATTCATCCACATGAACTTGTGTGGACATTTTGCAAAAATCAGAATCAGCGCAAGCTTAGTTTAAGCCATTAGTTTAAGCCAATGGTAAATTACTCCCTGAAAGCACATTGTATGGCAACACAGGGACAGGCACATATTGTCAAAAGTGTAAACTATTTGAGCACATATTCCTGCTTAAAGCTCAGTTTGTTATAAAAACAGGTACTGACCTGCTGCCTGTGACTAAGGCAGTTGAAAGGAATTTTTACTTCCATAGTAAGTATAAATACTCAAATATTTTTCACTCATTTTGTGGAGTATATTTTCACATTATAGCTGGGCTGAATTAAGAGTTTCCCACTGCCAAAAAGCTATGGCTTGCTTCTTTTACCCCTAGTCTCCCTGTCACTGCTTCTAACATCGATCCACCCTCTGCTTTTTACCAGGTGTAGTACTTGTTTGATCATAAGGTAAAGTGCTCTGTTCACCCATTTTTTGCCTGGTTAATTTTCTGTCATTTTAGTGAACTGAATTGCCATGCACTCAGCACTAAAGCTGACATGGGGTAAACAGTGGGAACATGCAGTGGTGAGCAGAGGGAAACGAAATGGAAGATGTGAGTGAGACCTTTCCCTTTCTTTAATAGCAGCCTCCAACAGAGCTTAAGCTGTATTGCAAAACCATTCTGCAAGAGGTGATAGTTCCAGAATTAGTAGCTTTAATTAGGAAAAGTTGTTATAATGGATACTAAATAAAGCAGTAACCAGAAGGTAAATATTTTTACTTGGTATTTAAGCTTTGGCACAATTACATGGCAATTGAAATGGCCTTCTCCTAAGGTATATACAGTTTCTACCAAATCTAAAATTACAGCCTTTGAATTCAAATTGCATACACAGTCACTGTATTTTTACATTTGCCCTGGTTTCAGTTTGAAATGATATGTTTTAAACTGTAAACAAAGAAGAGGTCTCAGAATACAGCATTAAGCATCTCTTTTTTTGAGACACTGTTGCTTAAAAACAGAGCTAGAACATGCCCATAATTTCATAACAAAGAAATATTTTTCAACACTTTGAATGTTACACCACATAACAAAACTGTTAACAGTATATCTTTTTTCCCCAGCCTGTTACAGTGGTAGATTTATGCCTGTGGTGAATGCATGTACATAGGCCTTTGGCAAACAAGGACTAACCATAAGCCTCTGTAGAATCACTATTTCCTATTTCATTCTTGTTTTGTGAATTGGTAAAATGTGTAACGGTTCTGTAGCCCTCTTCCACCCTGATAGTTCATGTTAACATTTAGGAAAAACAGGACAGAGAACATAGAATCATAGAATCATAGAATCATTATGGTTGGAAGAGACCTCAAAGATCATCAAGTCCAACCGTACATCTGATGCCACTGATGCCACATGTTGCAAGAAAAACCACCTATGTGTTTTTAATCATAAATCATCCCGATTGATCAGATGCCTTTTATGTTATTTGGGCTAAAACAGTATTCAAAAGTTACAGACTTTTGAAGTTCCCAATAGCTCCCCTTCACATAACATCTTTGTAATTAAGAAGTACGTGTACAGAGAGTATCTGACATGATACTTCTCAAAATGCTTTCAGAAATACCAGAGGATGATAATTATAAATTGGTTTCTGTCTCATGGCAAAACCTGAAAACCTTTTCTTAAAAAAATGAGATTTTTTTTTACAGGGGACTCAAACAGATAAACTAACAAATTGACAAGACAATGAGGTTCTGTGAGAAAGAGCCAAACTGTTCTCCCCAAAATAAGGAATAATTACTATTGAAGCAGTAAAAACCACCTCAGCCACATGTTTTTTTCGCACTTCTCAAAAAACTCACCTGATTATACAGAAGAATTGGAACGCTTAGATCTAGCCTTGGAGGAGGGGCAAGCTTTCTCAAGAATCCTTTGAAACAGAAAGGCTGGAACAGACAATATCAGAGTATTTTTACTTTATGGGTATGTGTTTCCTAATATTTTTTGTATTATTATAAAGTTCTTATATCAAACTGCCGACCTTCCAGTAGAAGGATCGAAGGCAAGCCTGAAGATTTACTGATTTAAGATAACGCTTGGGCACTCAGGAATTGGTTTTTATAACAAATTGAATGTGATAACAAAAAAATAGACTTAAAGATTTTGGGGATCTTGACAGTCCCACATTCTGCATTTGTGTGAATTATGTCCATAAGAAACCTGCCAAAATCAAAGCCAATTTGTCTTTCATTTTCTATGTGAGAAGATTGCAGAAATGAGCAAAAGGTATTTTAAGAAGTCATTATTTTGAGAACCAGCAAATATAATCATAGTATGTGTCTTCTTGTTCATTGAAGTTTTACTTTGTCTGATTGCATAGCAAGAAATATGAAGATAAAATATTTTAGAACTCTTTTGAGGGAAAGAAAAAGAGGACTTCACATTTGCTTTCTGTTAGTCACTTTTACGCATTGATTTCCATCAACCTTGCTTTTTTACAATAATAATTTAGGATTATTATAGAAAACAAGCATAAGCAAACACAGGATTTTTTAATCTTCATGACTTTTGACAAGTATTTTATAAGTACTTCTGGTTTTTTTACTGTATTCAAAAGCCATAAGCAAAATGATGTTGTTTTATTCTCTGGGAGATTGTTCTAAATACGCATAAATCAAATTGGAAGAATTTACAGCTATTCTCAGACTTCCCTTGTGTTGTAATTGCAATACTCCCTTTCAGATCTTTTGTGTTATTCCACAAACCCAGTAATTTCTGACATTAACTGTATAATTCTTCGATGCTGCATTGTTGATAAAGCCCTGTAAGTGGCACTGTTTTGAACAGTTCAGATTGAAAGACAGCAATTTATATGTTAAACTATACACCAATCTCTGATATTTCTGCACTGTATTGATGAAATTGAATATGTAACTGACAAAATGGTAACTCTAAGGTGATACTTACAGTGTAAGATCTGTGGTGTAACATTGAGCTGAGAATAGGTTGTAGACTGGTAATACAACTGGAGTAGCTCACTGCAGCATAGGTAGCATTAGACCACATGAAGAGGAGGCAGGATTGTGGGTCCATTTTTACACTGGTTGTTGGGTTTGGGGGTTGCATAACACAAAAATTGCAGCCTTTAATTGCACCAGAACGAAGTGATGTTTTCAGCCATCATTTGAAGGCAATGATAAAATTGTAAACTTTTATATTTATATTTATGTTAGTATAACTGTTTCTCCATACGTAACAGAATACTTTACCAATAAAAACACCTTCACAGTGATATTCATTACAGGTATTAACTAGCGATATTATTTTGGATAAAAATATAAGCTGCACATCACTAACCTACATACTTTACAGATACAGACTGGGACTAGAGTAAGAATGAAAAATTTGATCATCTTAGGAGCTGCAGACTGTCTCCAGCTGTATAATTTCTTGAAAATGTTTTTACTCCATTAAACCTAAGTATTTCCAGAGAACTCAGCTGCCTCTGTTCATACTGTTTGGCAGACCTTGTCTTGTAAAGCACAGTTTAGCCTGCAACTTTTGAATATTTTTTGTTAGCTTTTCTCAATGCCTTTCCTCTTTCTGTGTTGGGCATTTGCTGTAATGACATCAGGTATAGTTATTTGCCTTCAAAACAATCTGCATTTCTTGGTGATTAATGCATGCTTCTCTGAGGCCTCTGCGCATCACTCCGTGCCTATTTTGACAGCATCTATCTGTAGCATTAGTTTCTTCAGGAACATTCAGGCTTACCATTTTTATTATTTTGAAATTAAGATGGAGCAGGAAAACCATTATCAGAATTATCCTGGAGGAAATAGATAAACTATTTTAAACTAAATATAATATTTAAACTAATATTTTAATTATATCTTGTAACATACATAATATAATTTTTCAGCGTTACACCTGTTTTAGTGAAGTGCCATTCAGAGCAAAGGTAATGAAGATGAATTCCTGAGCAGGGATTACCAGAGAGCCTGAAGTGTATTTCTCGCTATTCTAGCTTTGACAGATATGATTATTTAGATTTTTACTTCTCTAAGACATCAAGAGAACATACACACTTGTGATGGAAGGCATGCTGCCTTAATTGCCAAAGGCAGTTTAATTTCTGAATGTATTTAATAAGTTCTGTAATTTAAGCAAAAATTCTTAGCTTCCATCTAAGATATAGAATTGATTAATAAAGAAGATCTGTACAAAAACCCTCGAAAAACATTACTCTGAAAAAAATAATTAACATCGAGGGGTTTTTGTTCATCAGCAGGTGGCAGTAATAAGCCACATTTTATCAAACTAAATTTACTGACAAATTAAAGCCTCAAGGTTTTTCTGTTTTTGCAGGGATTTCAGTACTAATGTTAATAACATTCAGATTAACAAAACCAAACCTCAGTGGCATAACTACTTCCTGTGTGGACTGAAGGGTATTCAGGTAAGCGAAATCCATTTAACTTACAAAATTAATGTAGAAGTAAAATATGACAAGCGCACCTATTCACCCTCAAAAATATTTCTCTGCGTTCTATAGCTTTTCTTGACATACAGTCAAGTATTTTGAAGTTAAAATTAGAAGAGGAGATATGAGTGGGTTTGGTTTAAAATATTTACAGAGCACTATTTTCATTTTTGTTACATAAATTACAATAGCAAATAATTACTTATTTAGTAAAGTAATGATCAAACTCATTATTAAGATGACATTTCTGTATTTTAAAGTTGAAAAGAATGCTTTCCAATGGAATCATCTAATTAAAATCTGCTTTTAAAAAGGTTTGGAGGCTTGTCTGTCAGGACACAAAGATCATATTTTAGTCCTTTTCTTCCTATGAAAACATTTTAAAAAATGTTAATTTCCATTGATGTTGGAAACCTACAACTTGTGCAAAACTGAGTGAAGCTGACTCATGCAGTAGGCAGAAGAAAATGTAAAAAGTGAGTAAACGGCATACAGAAGAAATATTCCAGGAAGAACCATTACTTATCCAGATTTTCAATGTCTGGAATTTGAATGGGATTTTCAAAATTTCCTGAATTAAGAGCACAGCTATGCAGGAAACAACACACTTACGGTAAAGGCAGGAACACTGAACAGACAGGCATTTTCCCGCCTGCTCATTTGAGCTTTATCTTCTCCTTGGTGAGCTAGGCAGTCTCCAGACTGACTTGAACACTG